GGGGGCTGCGATGGGAAAAGTCTGACGAAGGTCTTTAGCCCTAGAGACACATGAACTTTTTTGAGTTTTGGAATAATGTTTTGACCCCCCAAAAGGGAAAAAACGATTGCAATGACTACACCTACCAGATTTAATGTAGTATGTGGGTTCATTAGTGTATTTTATATAAATTGGGCCGTGTATGAGTGTTTAGGGCTCTCGGAGGTCTTGAAACGGCCTGGACTTAGGAGGAGCGTGTGTTGGGATGGAGGTGAGGGGCGGAGTCGGGGCGGCTTTGCCTCGGAGGGGTCCCCAGCGCAAATGGCAGTGGGGCCGGATTCGCTGTGTTCTCCTTTACACGGGAGTGCCCAGGGGATGCCACGGGGGAGGGGACTGGTTACGGAGAAAGTGGACGAGGACTAACCTGGAGGGGCTTCTGGAAGGAAGGATCTGAAAGGGCAGGCGAACGGGAGGTGCATGGGTAGGTAGTTCCGCGGCTCTGGATTTAGAGGGCAGGACAAGACAAAATGCCCACTGTGTGCCAATAGCATCACACCCCATCCCAAGTTGTGACAGCCCACATGTCTCTAGACATTGTTAGATGTCGCTGAGGAAAATGGGGCTACAGGATAAAACCCATTGTCTTTATTTTTTAAAACCCATTGCCTTTAACCTGACTTTTAAGATCCTTCATTATCTGTTCGCAAACTACCTTTCCTAGAATTTGACTGCATCTGAAAGAACCACCAAATGCAGGAATTCTTTCTTTAGTTTCCTTCATAGATTATTACCTAGTCTTCTTGGACACTTTCAGAGATGGAAAAGATTTTAAATCTTTACTTTTTTTCCAGAAAGTTCTTATATCTATGATGTCTTCCTGCTTAACATTCACATTTGTTAAGTCTAGTTGTAAAAGAAAAATTCTAATCCTTTTTCCATTTGTGAACACGTGTGATATTAAAAATTATAGTCATATTTCTCTCATTTCTTGAAATGTTTCAGCCCCTGTTCTTTTAGCTTTATCCATGTAACATACTTTATAAATTGTCAGAACTTTTTGCTCTCCTCTGAACAATATCAAGCCTGATAATGTCCTACTTAAAATGTACTACCTAGCTCGGCAGGTATTGCTCAGTGGTTGAGCATCGACCCAGGAACCAAGATGTCACGGTTCAATTCCTGGTCAGGGCACATGCCCAGGTTTTGGGGTTGAGCCCCAGTGGGGAGCGTGCAGGAAGCCGCTGATGGATGATGTTTCTCTCTCATCGATGTTTATATCTACCCCTCTCTAAAATCAATAAAAACCTATTTTAAAATGTACTACCCAGAACTGAACACAGCATTCTGGATATCGATCACACTATGAGCATATAACATTATATGCATGCTTGTCCATCTTCCTGGACTCTGAGCTTGAAGGCAAGAACCAAGTTTTAGTCATTATCTTTGTCTTAGGTATAGTCATCTTTGCATTACTAGCACAGTGCCTGAAAATTTGATGGAGTGCAACTCTTTTACCTTTGGGAGCAGATATAGTACACTCTTGCCTTAGAGTGACTTTGTAATGAATCAAACCTATCCTATATTAAAAAAAAAGCCTAATATGCAAATTGTCCCCTCACCCAGGAGTTTGACCAGGGGGCAGGGCCGGGAAGGGAGGCCTTCCAGGCCGGCAATAGCAGGCGGCCAGGGAAGGGAGGTGCCCCAGCCAGTAGCCACTAGGAACCCTACCTGTGTACAAATTTTGTGCACTGGGCCTCTAGTATATTATAGAAAAGCATTCTTAGGTCATACAAAAACAGGTGGCAGACTAGAATTGGGCTCACAGGCAGTCATTTGCCAACCCTAATCTAGACTAATCCTTGTGTGATTGATTTTTTAAGTCTGAATAGATAGGCTTTTACTTTTATCCTTATAATAGCTTATTGATTGCAACCCATCTTTCTAGCTTGCTCAGATCTTTTTGTGTGCTGATTCTGTCACCTGGCATATTAGCCAATTTGTGTCATCTGCAAATTGATAAGCATACTTTTTTCATCCTTAATTAATAAAAATGTTGAATGGGGATAAGGATAGAGGTCTTCCACAGAAGTATTATTTTGTTCTGTTAATCATCATTCTTTTAGTATAGCCATTCAGAGTCATAAATATCTACCTAAAGTACCACCTGTCAGCCAACCCACATTTCTCCATCTGTTCCATAGGATATCTTGAGAAGCTTTATCTGAAGTTTTGTTGAAATGTTCAGAAAATATTCCTAATTGGTAGTGACTCCATTAAACAAATGTATAGGTATGGTGTAACTTTTGTGACCTAAAGTTACTTCTGCTTCCTATTTTACTACATTCTTATTTACCTTTTCAAAGCCATAATTTTAATAATGAAATTTAATAATTATGTTGAGAATTAACATCAAGTTCATCAATCTATTATTTTTAGGAATTCACAATCTCCTCAAACTAAGGGTTAATATTTATCTAATACCAGTCCTCTGGTACCAGTAGTAATAAAAGCAAGAAAAATGCACAAATAAAAAATATTAGAATATATGCCTTCTTCTTGACCAGTCTTACCACAGTTTTAATATTGTCATACTAGATTTCAAAATCACAAAAAAATGAATTTTATGCCAATAAATATAAAAACTAAGAAGAAATGGATAATTTTCTATAAAATATAAATTCCAAAATTGTTTCAAGAAGGTGTAGAAAACTTGCCCAGGCCAGGTAGCTCAGTTGGTTAGAGCATCATCCAAATACACAAGTTCAATCCCTTGTCAGGGTACATATAAGATTCAACCAATGAATGCATGAATGGGTGGAATAACATCAGTGTTTCTCCCTTCCTTTCTCAAGTTAATTTTAAAAAGAAGGTGCAGAAAACTTGAACTATTGAACTTGAAATAGTCAAAAAAAATCTACATACACACACTTTATCAGGCTTATAGGATCAAATAACCCCTATCTTAAAAATTATATATATTTACTGATTTCAGAGAGAATGGGGGAGGTAGAAAGAGATAGAAACATCAATGATGAGAAAAAGCATTAATTGGCTGCCTCCTGTATGCCCCACACTGGGGATCAAGCCTGCAACCTGGGTATATGTCCTGACCGGGAATCAAACCGTGACCTCCTGGTTCACAGGTCAACACTCACCCACTGAACCACACCAGCTGGGTATAAGAAGTCAGTTTTGATTCCTGGTGTTCACCTAAATGTAATGTGTTTTTTGCTTTCTCTGTTTTCCCCCTCTTTAATCTTCAGCAATTGACTAAGACATGTCTAGGTAGAATCTTCTTTGTATTTATCCAATTTAGGGTTCATGAACTTCTTGATCTGTGGGCTTATGTCTTTCACAGATTTTGGGAAAATTTCTGCCATATCTCTTCATCTACACCAGGGGTCCTCAAACTTTTTAAACAGGGGGCCAGTTCACTGTCCCTCAGACCGTTGGAGGGCCGGACTATAGTTTAAAAAAAACTATGAACAAATTCCTATGCACACTGCACATATCTTATTTTGAAGTAAAAAAAAAAAAACGGGAACAAATACAATATTTGTATTTGCATGTGGCCCACGGGCCGTAGTTTGAGGACCCCTGATCTACACTGTTCTCTATCTCCTCTCCTTCTGGGACTCCAATTACATGTATTTCAGGATAGTTTGATAGTGTTTCTCAGGTTTCTGATACTTTTCTATTCTGTTATTTTCATGTACTGTCTATCTGTGTTTCATTTTGGATCATTTCAATTGACCCATCTTTAAGTTCACTGACCCGTTTTTATGTTGGGTCCAATCTGATGTTGAGCCCATCTAATAAAATTTTTACTTCAAGTATTGTACTTTTCAGTTCTAGAATTCCTGTTTCAGTTTCTCTGCTAAAATTCCCTTTCTGTTCACCCATTTGTCCATATTTTCACTAAATTATCTAACAGATATATAGCAGTCATCTTTATCTATGTCTGCTGATTCCAGCACCTGGGTCATCTATAGATATGCTTCAAATGACTTTGTTTATTGGACATTGTGTTTAAATGAATAGACACAGCATATAATTTTTAAAAAATTTTATTGCTGCAAGTATTATAGATGTCCCCTTTTTTCCCCCCATTGAGCCACTCCACCTTGATTTTGCCCCCTCCCCAGGCCTTCACTGTACTATTGTCTGTGTCCATGGGTTATGCATATATGCATATAAATTCTTTGGTTAATCTCTTTATATAAGGTTAGCCCCCTTCCCCGAGAGAATACACTATTTTCTTTGTCTGAGAGCTAGGATAAGGAGCAAATCACTTCAGTCCCCCTAGGGATTGTGCTAGGATTGGTTTCAGCTGTATTTTTATTTAAATAGTTCAGTTTAGCCATGGCTGGTTTGGGTCAGTAGATAGAGTGTCAGCCTGCAGACTAAGGGTCCTGGGTTCGATTCTGGTCAGGGGCACATGCCAGGGTTGTGGGCTTGATCCCCAGTCAGGCGGCATGCAGGAGGCAGCTGATCAGTGATTCTCTGCTATCATTGATGTTTCTCTCTCTCCCTCTCCCTCCCTGAAATCAATAAAAATCTTTTTTTTTTAAATTAAATACTTCAGTTTACCTCTGATTCTAGATATTTGGGAGTGAGATTAGGTCCCTCCTTCATAAGGGTTTTGGGATGTAAGTACCTGAAATCACAGGAATTTTTTGCTTTTCAGTTCATACCAACTTCCTCTGAAGCTCTATTTAGGGGCTGATTTAAAAAAAAATCTTATTAGGAGTTAAACAGGGTGGGGGTTAAGATGCACTTTACTTAGTTACACTTCAACTCAGTTACACACAACCACATGCATAAATCTCAAAAACCTAGTAATGAGTGAAAGAAGCCAGATACAAAGGAGTACAATCTGTATGATTCCATGAATATAAAGTTCAGGCAAAATTAATCTATGGTGTTAGAAATAAGGACCATGCTTTACCTTTAGAAAGGAAGGAGGAGGAGTGCTTGAAAGAGGGTATGAAGAGGGCTTCTTAAATGCTGATAATGTTCTAGTTCTTTACCTGGGTGGCAGTTACCCGGGTAGTGGTTACTGGGGTGTGTTTACCTTGTGAAAATTTGTTGTGCTATATACTTATGATTTGTATCTATAACTATATGTATGTTATAGTTCAATAGCAAAAAAAAGAAAGTGTGTGTGAGAGGTGGGGAGACTCCTACACAAAAAAAACTAAGTTACAAAAAAAAAATCAAACCACAGAGTAGAAGATATTTACAACATATAATAATGGATTTCTATCCTGAATATTTTATTTTAAAAATACCTACAAATAAAAAAGAAATGGACAAAAACTTTTTTTTAGAGCAATCCAATAGAAAAATGAGCCAAGGATAAGAAAAATCAAATAACAGAAGAAGAGGCCTGAATGGCCCATAAACATATGATAATGGTATTCAGCTTCACTAATAATCATGGAAATACAAATTGAAATCTTATTGAGATACCATTTTCCACCAATGAGACTGACTATAGCCAAAAGTCTAACAATACCACATAGATTATGGTTAGACTTTGAGGAAGCAGAAACTCTCATACAATGCTAATGGCAATGAAAATTGTTATAATTTAGAGATCAAATTGATCAATTATTGACTTAAAAACATGCTGATTCTAAGTTTCTGCAATTTTATTTCTATAAAGAGAGTCTTTCTGTCCTGGCCAAATTTTCTCAGTGGTTACAGTGTCACCCCGCAGATTGAAGGGTGGTGGGTTTGATTCCGGTCAAGGGCATGCAAGTACCTCGGTTGAAGGCAGGATCCCCAATGCTGGTCCGGGCGCTTGGGAGAGGCAGGCTATTGATGTGTCTCTCTCACATCGATGTTTTTCTCTTTCCCCTCTGTTCCACTCTCTCTAGGAATCAATGGGAAAAACATATTCACTCCTCAGGTGAGGATTTGAAAAAAAAGGTAGCAAAAGGAACCATCCAAGTTTTCAAAGAATAGTGCATATTGTTTATGGAGACATATGTATGATAATAGTATAAAATATAGTTAGGAGGGATATTTATCAGTTTTAGAATAGCTGTTACTTCTGGGCCATGAAGGGAATGGGGCCAGTGAGGGGCTACATATTTCTCAAAAAGAATTTTTTTAAGTAGATATAGCAAAAATGTTAACATTTATTACCTCAGGGCAGTAATGCATAGTTGTTTAATATATATAACATTCTCTGTACTTTGTCATTTGTTTATTTGTAATTGTCTCCTTTTTAAAAAAAAAACTGGGATCAGTGTGTAAAGGGTATTGGAAGTCTTCCTCAGGTTTGTAAACCCTCTTTTAATTCTTTGTAGATACAGCTTTCCCAGCCACTTTGCATCTATATATTAGTTTTTGCCCTATCATCACCAGATCAAGGAGGAGGGTGAGTGAGATCTAGCAGAATCGTCTCAGTCTTCTTTATCTGTTTTACCCACCAGGGTTCATAGTAGAGCTCAATACTATCTTTTCAGGATGTTTCTATTTAACTTAAAATGTTAGCATACAACATAAATGTCTTTAAGTCCATGACCCAAGTGAGTGATTTAGAATTTGAAAATAAGTAAAAGGATGTCTTCTCTCTTACATTTCTACTCAAAAAAAAGATGATGTTTAAGATATAAATAATATTGCTTGTTATTTCGGTTGATAAATGTACTGATAAATAGTCACAAAGAATCTGTTTTTATGCTCCAGGTTTTTAAAAATAATTTCAGAATTATAATAATTTAAGTAATCTTAAAGAAATTAACCAATTCACTTATGTCACCTTAGCTTTTTAACTATTTCTCTATAATTATTGAGGGCTTTTAATTTTAGAAGCAGAAAAATTATGTCAGTGTAGTCAGGGGCTTGTTTTCTGGGGTAGTGTAGTGGAAATACTCATATTTTACAGATTATTCCTGGGAGAGGTCTGAAGTTTACTCATGTAAATAAACATGTTAGCGTCCTTCCCGCTTGTTGAATTGCTTGGTTGTTAAGCTGTGTGCTAGGCAACAGGCTTTCTCTCTTCCTTTTCTCAGATAAAGTGCAGAGAATCAAGAAGTAGCTTTTGTTATTCCTGTGTTATTGTTTTATTTGCAGGTTAAACAGTTTAAGATGAGAAAAGTTGATCTCTGTTTGAGCTCTGAAGGGACGGAAGTGATTTTAGCTACATCAAGTGATGAAAAACACCCCCCTGAAAATATAATTGATGGGTAAGAGTTACTATTCATTCTTCCTTAAAGTCTTGATATTAGGTCAGTGAACCACTTGAGTACTGGGACTATGTGTTTTATAATAACTAACACTGTTAAACATAGTTCAATAAACGTTTGGTGCAGTAGATAATCTGACAATTTCCACCTTTGGTCCCATTTTTGAAATTAATTCAGTTGTATATGTTTAGGTTTTGATCCTTTTCTTGAAAATTCCTAAACTGACCTTTACAAATAGTTTTTTAAGAAGTAGTTTAGCCCTAACCGGTTTGGCTCAGTGGATGGAGCGTCGGCCTGCGGACTCAAGGGTCCCAGGTTCGATTCCGGTTGGGGGCATGTGCCTTGGTTGCGGGCACATACCCAGTAGGGAGTGTGCAGGAGGCAGCTGATCGATGTTTCTCTCATTGATGTTTCTAACTCTATCCCTCTCCCTTCCTCTCTGTAAAAATCAATAAAATATATATATTTTTTAAAAAGTAGTTTAATAAGGCAAAACCTCAAACAACAACAACCACCTCATTTTATGGAAGTGTACATTTTAATACCTGGTTATGGTTTTATTTCAAGTTTTTCTTAGTAAATAGGAATATAAACATTGTAACTTTCTATGCACTGCCTATTTCCATATTAGTCAAAGCAACATCTTTGCTAAACTGAATGCTTCACTCACTATCTGCTATCTACCTGCATTGTTTGGCTCTTGGCCTCTTAATATTATTCCAATTTTCACTTGTCACCATGCTAGAGCTTATTCTAGGTAAAGATGAATATCATTCTCAGACTTTTAAATTCCAAGAAAAAGTAGATAATGGAAGAACTCTGGCTATTTTATCACCCTCTTGAGTTCTCTTTCTTGGTATTTGTACAATGACCAGAGTTTCACTAATAGAATAATGTAATTTTAGAGCTAGAAGGACTTATGAGTTCATCTTATCTAAACTTTCATTTTAGACTCATGGTAAGACAGGCCTAAAGAGGTCAAGTACTGTTTTGAACTATTGAAGGCAGAGCCAATTGTAATACAGATCTTGTGGTTCTTTGGGTTCTGTTGTGAAGCCCATGTATCTGAGTAAATATAAGCAACTCATCCTCTTCTTTTAAGCCTAGTTGTTACCTTCTTTCTGACATTTCTCCCTTTCCCTCAAGGAGGATGAATTTACCTTTTTTGTTGGACTCCATTAGAATTTGGTAGTTACCCTATTACCTTATTTATTCCTTTATAATTATTTGTTTAATTTTGTTTCTTAATTGTGAATTCGTAAAAGTCAGAGACTATGACTTGTTCATCTTTAACTCCATAGTGTCTTACAATATTTGTTGAGTAGCTTACTAAATTAGACCATCAATTATTAGTCAAACTTAACTAATATCGGAGAGTAGCTGAGTATTTAAGCATACATATATACATGTACATACATACACATATGTGCATATGTTACTTTTAATTTGCATGGGACTTTATTGTTTCATAGACTCTATGTTATTTGACACACACTGTAAATTTGGGAAATAAGAAGCAAAAAAAAATTATTTTCAACCTCATTGTAAAGATGATGAAAAGAATGATCAGAGATGCAATGACTTGCTCAACATCACACAGATAACCAAGAATCAAGATTAACACTCATGTCTTCTAACTCCTAGTTTGGGGTTCTTTGTACTATACTATAACTCAGACTTAAGGTGTGCATCAAAAATTTGATATCTGCTTTTTGCCTGTGCATCTTAATCCTTCTTAGTTTTTTACTTCCTAAAATTCGGGTCATAATAATTTTTTTAAAATATATTTTATTGATTTTTTTAAAGAGTGGAAGGAAGAGGGATAGAGAATTAGAAACATCAAAGAGAGAGAAACCTCAATCAGCTGCCTCCTGCATACCCCCTACTGGGGATGTGCCCACAACCAAGGTATATGCCCTTGACCGGAATCGAACCTGGGACCCTTCAGTTTGCAGGCCGATGCTCTATCCACTGAGCCAAACCAGTTAGGGCCGGGTCATAATAATTTATCCCACTCTGCCTTGGAGTAGAGAAATTAATGTGGGAACTGCTGTGAGAATACATAGATGTATACAGATCTGCCTTAAGTTGTTTGCCAGAAATAGAGATCTTTCCATCATATCAGTCCATATTAATGAATGACTACAGATATCATATTCTTTTTATTAGACAAAACCCTTAGTACAAAAAAACTACATAAAAGTAGTTACTGACCTGGTAACTGAACAGAGTACATTGGAGACTTTTAATCTGTATTCATGTCCAACAAATACAATTAGACTTTATTAGCAGATATTAAAAATTATTCTTGCCCTAACCGGTTTGGCTCAGTGGATAGAGCATCGGCCTTCGGACTCAAGGGTCCCAGGTTCGATTCCGATTCCGGTCAAGGGCATGTACCTTGGTTGCAGGCACATACCCAGTAGGGAGAGTGCAGGAGGCAGCTGATCGATGTTTCTCTCTCATCGATGTTTCTAACTCTCTATTCCTCTCCCTTCCTCTCTGTAAAAAATCAATAAAATATATTATAAAAAAATAAATTAATTTAAAAAAATAAAGTTCTTAACACACTATAATATTTAAAAAAATTATTCTCTGTTCATAAATTGGTTTATCTAAATGAAAGTAACCATAGAATTATTTGGAGAAAACAGTGCTATAAATTTGCCCCAACTGAACAGTGCTCCCAACTCTCCATCCCAGAAATAGGAATTAAAGAAAGTGATTATATTTCTACTTACTCTTAACTCTACTTCTTTTCTGTGGCATTTAATATATTAATGAAAAAGGAGAAAAAAATTCTGCACTAGAAAAAGTGAATTAAGAGAAAAAGAAGACTAGTGGGGCAGGGACATGTGCTAGGGAGCGGGAGCAGCTGGGGAGAGATCAATGGGGGGAAAAGGAGACATGTAATACTTTCAACAATAAAGAATTTAAATTTTAAACAAAGATAGTAAAAAAAGAGAAAAAGAAGATAAAGAGAATTAGTGTTGTTTTTTTTTAATACTATAAAAGAATACTAGAGTTACAGTTAAAATTCCTGGGTAAGTGAACTATTTGTGTTACTCTTTGAGCCTCAATTTCCTGGTCTGAAAAATGTGGATAATACTACCTTTCCTAACTACCTCAGAGTTGTGAAAAAAAATCATGTGAGAAAATAGATAATAAACAGTCATTAGCTATAAAGCTTTATTTAAGACAATTTTGATGACTTCAATAAATATGAGGATTCAGTTTTATGTCATTTTAAAATCCATGTCTGCACATACTATTTGATGTTATATTGGTTGTGTTCATTAAAAGCACCCAAGAAAAAAACACAGGGCAATTAAAAGTCATTTAATTATTTGAATAAATAATATTTAAAACCATATAAATGTAAATTTTAAAAATTGTGAAATATTAAGCATAATATTAAAAACCCAGAATCGTGAGTTAGGAAACCCAGTTGCTGCACCTGCTGCTGCTGCTGCTGCTTCTGCTGCTTCTGCTTCTTCTTTTTATAACAGCTTTATTGACATATTATTCACATGCCATGCAATTCACCCATTTAAAGTGTACAATTCAGTGGCTTCCAGTATATTCCCGGAGTTATGCAACCATCTGCACAATTTTAGAACATTTTATCACCCCCAAAAGAAACCTTGCAATCCATTATAGTCACCCCATATTTCCCTTATCCTCACCAGTCCTACTTTCTGTTTCTGTAGATTTACCTATTCAGATATTTCATATAAATGGAATTACACATAGGCAGTCTTTTGCTTTTTTCAGTTGCTGTTTTCAAGGTTTACCCATGTTGCAGTTCATATCAGTGTTTCATTTTTATTTCCAAATAATATTCTATTGTATGTGTATAGCACATTTTATGTATTCATTTATCAGCTGATGGATATTTGAGTTGTTTATACTTTTTGGCCACATTTCCCCAATCTTGTTTAAAAATACCAACTTATAGATCCAGGATACTCAGAAAACCCCAAGCAGGGTAAAAACAGAGGGACCAGCCCGGCCACTTTAGCTCAGTGGTTGAGCTTCGACCCATGAACCAAGAGGTCACTTGTTCACTTCCTGGTCAGGGTACATGCCCAGGTTGTGGGCTCAATCCCCAGTTGGGGGCATGCAGGATGTTTCTCATCA